GACGGCCGCTCATGGAGGCTCACAGCAGCGCACCAAAGCACACGCCAGCTGTTGGCCAGCCCCACTGCAGCCTACTCCATTGCCGGCGACTCGCAGCAGCCCAGCTCCAGGTCGAGCTGTTGTTCACCATCTTAGCTGTAGAAGGCTCAGAGTCACTGGCCCATGTGGGATCCGAACCAGGACCCTGCTGCTCAGAGCTGGTGTCCCAAGCCAACTCTTAACCAACGCACCACTCGGCCGGCCCTATATTGATATTTTTAAAAGCTCCAGAAACTATTTTTTTAAAAAGATTTTACTAGGGAATTGGGGAAGGGGAACAGTGTTGGGTAATTGGGGAAGGGGAACAGCCAAGTTGCTGTCCTTCAGTCTTAGTTGTGGAGGGCGCAGCTAGCTCAGCTCCAAGTCCAGTCGCCATCCCACTGCCTGTTGGCAGCTCTTGGCCACTCAGCTCAAGGTGCCATGTTCAATCTTAGCTGTGGGGGAGGGAGGGGCGCAGCCCCCCTTCCCATGCGAGAGTCAAACCTGTAACCTTGTTGTTAGGAGCATGTGCTCTCACCAGCTGAGCTATCCTGCCGCCTGTTGGCAGCTCAGCTCAGACGCAGCTCACTGTCCCATGTGGGAATCAAACCAGCAACTCTGTTGCTCAGAGCTCGCGCTCTTAACCAACTGAGCCACCTGGCTGGCCCCTCCAGAAACTATCTTGTTAAATATTCCTTTAAAGCATAACTCCTACCTCTCTCCTCCACTCTCACAGCTGCATGATTATTTAGGCAGTTCTTCCCTGCTGGGTATTTAGGCTGTTTGCAGCTGTTCACCATTAGAAATGAAGTTGGGATGAATATCCTTGCACATTAATCTTCATGGGCCTCTCTGGTGGATTTCTTTATGTTACTCCCAATTCGTTATTGAAGAAATAAGTGGAAAAACACTTATTTGTGGTTCTGCTTATGTTCTCAGAAAAAAAATCTCAGATGTAGAAACGCTGGATCAAAAATAAGTGGTTTTGGGCCGGCCGAGTGGCGCGATGGTTAAGAACTCGCTTGGGANGGGGAACAGACAAGTTGCTGTCCTTTTGTTCTTCAGTCTAGTTGTGGAGGACGTCGCTTCACTGGCTGAAGTTGGCACCATCATTGCGCTCTTCCCAGGCGAGGCAGATCAGTCACCGGCTTCTGGACGGCCACTCACTGTGGCTGCTAGCTGCTCACGCTGGCTGCTGGCTACACACGGTAGCCCATGGCAACCCACTGCAGCAGGGGCTGCAGCCTACACTGTCTCTGGCACTCATGGCAGCCCAGCTCCAGGTTGAGTTGTTGTTCAGCATCTTAGCTGTCGAGGGCAGTGTCACTGGCCCTCATATGTGGGATCCGAACCGGGGCCCTCTGGCGTCCCAAGCCTGTTCTTAACCATCGTGCCACTCGGCTGGCCCTCTTGCTTTATTTTTTTATTGTCCCAATACTTCGTCCCTTTCTAAAATGATCCCTTTTGACATATTCGTTTATTGCCTCTAAATGCACAAGGACAGGGACAGCCATTGGCTTGCACAATATTATTTGTTTAATAATTTTGAAATATTTCAGGAATGTCTTCTAGAGGTCCCTGGGAGTCTGATAATAATCTTCCTTGGCCAAACTTCAGAGGGGCCACCATAGGACACTGTGTGGGAGGGAAGGACAAAAACAGAGGCCATACCCAAATCCCATCACTACAACTCTTTGTGGGCTGGAGGTTCAGAGAGGTGACCCCGACCTCTTCTGCTTTGAGACCCCCACAACTACAGGCCTCACCCAACCCCATCAGGGTCATGGATGTTATGTTCAGAATGGAAGGGCAGGGTAATGGTTCAGCAGTGGACCCTTGGTTCAGGTGACTTTGGCTCAAAGCCGTCTTCCATTCTCCTTGTCATGTGACTTTGGGGCTCTTGGCTTCCATTTACCCATCTGTGAAATGGGTATAACACTCATTATGCTAGGGCTGTTGTGAGGATTAAATGAGATTGTGCTAGGCATATAATACCCTCAAAAATTGTTACCTGTTAGTACGATTCCGAAAATGCACACACACAGGCAGAATTGTGCAGATGATTTTTTTTTCATCCCCGCCCCTTCTCCCCCTGTGCAGATGATTTTTAAGGGGCTTCATACACTCCCTCAAATCTAGTCCTGAACCCTTGACCTACAAACCGTCTAAGTTACCCCCACCCCCAGCTTAATCACCAGGGCCTAAAGAGTTAGGAGGCATGAGAGCTGAAGGAATCCCCAGGTAGGGAGGGGGTGGGAGGCAGGGACTTGGGGTGGGCCTAAAGGGGGCAGCCAGGAGGAGCCACCCGTCTGTGCACACAGAGGAGCCAGTATTTCTGCAGCTGCCTGGGCCTAAGGAACAGGCCCCCAGGGGCAGGTGGGACCTGATTACAGTCCCAGTGAGGGTGGGGCGGTCTGGCCCAGCCAGGCATTCCAGTTGGCCCGGTGTGGGGGCTGGGCACTAGGAGGCTCCTGGCACCCTCGGGGAGGGTACTGGCCCAGCTCCTGCTGTGGATGCCCTCAGGCCCTCAGTGCCCAGGGCTGGTGAGGGCATGCGGGCCCCCTCCTGAGGCTGGAAACCTTTGCCTGCGTGTTCATTGGTGTGTCCCCCAGGAGTGCATGCCAGCGAGCGAGTGGCAGGCAATGCTTCACCTGTGTTTGTCCTTTTGGTCCACAGAGGTCATGAGAACCTTCCCAGGAAAAACAAACACTCGAGTGAGCTGGCCGGACATGCCACGCTCACAGGAGGGGCAGGGCATGACAGCACGCCATCCATGCCAGGGTGCCTCCCCATGGCAGGAGCCCCAAATCCCCCAATGGTACCACAAGTGGGGAAACTGAGGCTCAGTGGGGAAAGGATTTGTCCAGGTCTTTCAGGGCGACTGGGACTGGGACAAGAGCCAGGGCACGTGCATCACACGCATCCACATGTGTGTTTAAACACATACACACTGGCACCTTTGTACACCCACACCCACTCCTGTACAGGCACATCCAGACAAGAGGGCCCACGCCCCAGCTCCCCTCCCTTGGGCACACCCACCCCCTGCCCAGTCACATTCTCTGGACCAAAAGACCCAGTCTCAAGCACATCTGTGGGTATTAAAGGGACCCAGGAATTTCTACAGAGTGGGCTCAGGGACCACCATCTGGGGTGGGGGGAGGATGGGGTCTCAGGAAATTGAATTGCTGTAGTGCTTTCTCATTTCATAGAATTTTATATAGTCACAAAAACACTGATTGTTCTGTGTTGATTGAAACCCCATTGTAGTTGTGAATGCACCAACTCACACTTACATCCCCTTACATGGAGTTCACCCACCCAGTCTCACTTATATATGATGCGGAAATGCTTCTAGATGCACACAAATACCCACAAAAACCATTCAAAACACAGTTACTTACACATACCTACACACACAACCACAGGTCATATATTCACAAGCAGCCACTCCCAGATTCCCACAAACGCACTCACATGTAAAGAGATATGGTCAGATACTCAATTTATGTTCAGGAAACAGATAACAGACATGCACATTGTTGCACTCATGCTCACACACAGACTCATGCAAATATCTGCAAATTCACACAGATGTAAATGCAAGTTTCACACACACAAATACACTCAGACGGTGATACATGTCGACACTCACATAAACAGATCACGTATGCACACTTATAAACACACAATTACAACTGTAGATACATACCTACACATACAGGCCCGCAGAGACCTAACACATGAACACTTGTATATTCATAATTACACACAGCTAAGAGGCACGCAGCCGAGGTTTTGACAAAAAACACAAAAGCAAATATTAAACAAATATCCACAAATAGGGGCTCAGGCATTACAAATATTCCCAGGTAACACACACACGATTGCACTTGTGTACACAACTATCTGCACTCAAACACACAAGTATATTCACATACAACCCTCCACACTGACATACACAATCAAATTCATACCACACACAAACACATCTACTCACACACATATGCACACTCACACTCTCAGCACATTCTTATACAATAATACCCACTTCCACTGTTTGTTTACATACCCTGTCACACTAGGCTGACACCATATACTCAAACGACCTACAAATACACTCATGTGTAAACACACATATATGCACAGAAATACATCCGAAACTGCTCCTCACATACATACACATGTGCACACAACCACACTCAAATAATCATATGCAAAAGCACTTGGACAGAAATACACCCCCACCTACACGCAATCGGAGCTCCCCAACAAATTCTGCTGATACCACAAATACACGTGCAGACATTTGCAATTATATCCAGTAACAGCCATTCAACCACACACACATATACAAGTAGTCTCACTTCTGCATAGACACACTCAATTTCTCTCACATACTCGTCTTCATCAACATTGAACACACCCTTGTACAAAACACAAGTACCTATAGGTGTTCATAAAGCCACTGACAAAACCCAGGTACATACAGTCACCACTCCTATATCCTCAGGACACAGACACCTACACAATACAGATCTTTGTACACACAACACACATGAAAAACACGGACACCCACACGCGTACATATGTGCGCTGTTACACTCACACCTAGATACGTACTGGCAGACACCCTCAAATACACTCGTTCACCACAAATACATTCAGGAACACACACGCAGTTACAAATACACGCATTCTTGTACGCTCACGATACACACTCAGAAACAGGTGCACCCACGCACAGCTGCCTCCGGGCCAGGAAGACAAGCCGGCACAGATGCTCACACATCTAAGGATACACGCTTGGACCAGCACGCACAGAGCGTCCCTCATCCTCTCCAGTGCGCGCACACGCACACGCACACACACGTACACACTCCTCTGCATCCTCCCGGCCCCACCCTGCGGGGAGGGCCAAGGCAACGCGCGGGCACCGGGTCGGGGGCGGGGTGCACCTGGGCTCCGCCCCGGGGCGGGGCCGACGCAGCGTCGCGAGCGCGAGCGGCCGCACCTGGCTCGGCGGCGGTGGCGGCCTGGGTGCGAGCGCGGTGCAGCCTAGTCTGAGCCAGCGCAGAGCGGCCGCCCGCAGCCCCGGCGGCGCCATGGTGGAGGCGGCGCCCCCCGGGCCCGGGCCGCTGCGGAGGACCTTCCTGGTGCCTGAGATTAAGTCACTGGACCAGTACGATTTCTCGCGGGCCAAGGCGGCGGCCAGCCTGGCGTGGGTGCTGCGGGCCGCATTCGGGGGCGCAGGTACCAGCCGGGGGGCGGCAGGTGCGGGGGGCGGGCCGGGGAGGCCGGGGCCGTGGGAACAATAGCGCCGGCTGCTGGGGTCCCTGGGCCTCCAGGCCTCCTGCTGGGCTGGGGCCGTGGACTTTGGCCGCCCAGCTGCGGGAGCGCGGTGGGGGTGGGGCCGGCGGCCCAGCTCCTTGCCGGGACCGGGCGTCCGGGCCCCAGGTGAGCGGGTCGGTGTCTGCGGGCCGGCTGGGGTCTCCAGTTCCGGCCTTGCGTTGCACGCCCTCCTCCCCTTTACTCACATCACGCGCCCGCGGGGACATCCCCCCAGCCCGACACACACCCCGCGTCGGCCCTGCCTGCGCTGCGGGTGGTGCGGGGAGCTCGGGGAACCCCCTCTTTCGCCTCCACGGCCCCAGCCAGCGCTGGCAGCTGTGACTTATGGTCCCTTTTTGCCTAGGATGCAGGCGAGCCCAGTAGAAGGGAAATGGCTTGTCCAAAATCGCCTGCGGCCGGGGCCCAGGTGCAAGCCCTTCTCCCACTCCCTTCCCTAGTCCCACAGTGTGAAGTAGGGCCACCCGTAGGATAGGATACGGGTGGGTTCCCAGGACTGGAGGCCCTGAGCAGGCTCAGTCAGAGCCGCATGCCAGAGCTGGGAGCCAGGGCCTGGACATGGGGAACACGGAGTTAATTAAGGACTGGGCCTTGGGAGGTGGGGGAGGGGGGACGCCCTACCCTCCCACTGGTCCTGCCCACTGGTCTTGGCACCAGCTGGGCACAGCCCATGCTTCCTCAGTGGCCTTCCCAGATCAACCAGTTCTGGGTGTGGGTCCCAGTGATAGCTGTCCCTCTCTGGCTCTGCCTGAGCCTGTCTCTCCTCCATCCCACTCTGGGGCCTACCTGTCCCCAAGTATCTGCTTGAGAAAGAAAGGTGGTTGGTAGGGAGAGACCCAGGTAGCCTCAGCCCCTCACCATCCCAGGTTATGAGGCCATAAAGGGCTCACCTTTGGAAATCAGAGTTGAGTTTGAGTCCCAGCTCCACTGGACTGGACAAATTATCCCAATTCTCTAAGCTTCTATTTCCCACTCTGTAAAAAAAGGCATCCGTTCACTCACTCATCTTGCAAATGTCTGTGGGGTACCCACTGTGTGCCAGGGCAGTGCAAGGGTAATTGGGATCCCAGTACCTTCTTCACAATGTTGCTGGGAGGCAGAAGAGAGAGCCTCATTACAGAATTCTTTGCACTTTGTCTGGCACACGCTACACGGATGCTTGCTATTACTGCTGCTGGCGTCGGCATGATGTTATTATTATTATTCATTGTCTCCTGGCCAGAGGACAGAGTAGAAATTACTATCTTATTTCACGGAAAGGAGAGGTACTGACTCATTGACCCAGCTCCCTGCCCTGTGTAACACCCTCCCTGAGGGTCAGGTTCAATCTGTTCCCCACCCACCTTCTCTAAACAAAGAGCCTGAGAAGGTGGGACACCTGGCCTGAGAGGGAAGTAGGGAACAGAGCTCTGCTTGGTTCATGAACCCTGGGGCTTTTTACCTATGTCTTTTGGGTGCCAAGCCAGTGCTGGGTGCTCAGGATGGATTGGATGGGAATGGACTCTGGAGGGTGGGGTGTTGGACATGAAACCAGATCATTGTTGCCTAGAGTGATAAGGTCTGTGACACAGAGGCATGCAGCAGAGCTGGTGGTGGGGGGGAGGAATCCCTGAAATCTTGCAGAGAGGGGAGGAGAAGGGAAGGCTCCCCAGAGGAAGGAGGGTTTGAACCTTGAAGGATGCGTAGGAGTTTGCCAGGGTGAGGAAGTTACATGTGCAAAGGCACGGGGTATGTGCCAACAGGGAGTTCTCCAAGAAGAACGTGCGGGTCCTGGTGGTGGCCTGGTGGTAGCCGAGGAAGGCAGGGGATGAGGGAGGCCAGTGAGACTGAGGAGGGCCTCTCAGGCCTTGGGTGAGGATCTGAGGGCATTGGGGAGCCATGGAAGGTGTTTGGGGACTGGCAAAATAAGAGCAGACATGTAGGTGCCCAAGGGGAATTGTGGCTGTGAAAGGGGTAGTTCTGGTAACCCCAAGGCACAGGTGTGAGGAGGCTGGGCAGGAATGAAGGCAGGTGGGCTCAGCAGAGCTCTAGCTCAGAGATAAGATAGAAAGGGTGCCTCCTTTAAGCAACTTTAGGAAACATCACATGCAATCCCTTATGCCTTCAGAATATCACTGCGATGCGTAGGGAAACTGGATTCATATCGGCTCAGTCATTTACTAGCTGTGTAAGCTTGGGCAAGTTAGCTCTCTGGGCCTTGGTTTTCTTATCTGCACAATGGGGATAAGAATGTAAGTGTCGTAAGGATTAAATGACCAAATGTAAGCAAGGGGGTCATGGTGTAAGTAAATGCTACCTGTGCTTAGAGCTGCTGTCCCATATGATAGCCATAAAGAATGTGTTGCTGGTCTGAATTGAGATGTGCTAGAAATGTAAAATACACAGTAAAGATTTGGTACCCCAAAAAACCCCCAGGAATTTGAAATATCTCAATAATGTTTCTATAGTGATTACATGTTGAAATGATATTTTGCATATACAGTTGATCCTTGAACAACATGGGTGTTAGTTAGGGACATTCACCTCCCCCCACCAAGTGGTCAAAAATCCTCGTATTACTTTTGACCCCCCCAAAAAAACATAGCTACTTACAACCTGTTGACCAGAAGCCTTACTGATAACATAAACTGTCGAGGAACACAATTTTGTGTATGTATTATATACTGTATTCTTATTTATTTATTTAAAAATTAAAAAAAATTTTTTTTTTAGCTGAGCCATCCTGCCACCGGTTGGCAGCTCAGCGGCAGCTCAGCTCGGGCCGTGAATCAAACCGGGGACCCTGTTGCTCAGAGCTCAAACTCTTGAGTGAGCTCTTAACCAACTGAGCCACTCGGCCGGCCCTTATGTACTGTATTCTTACAATCAAGTAAGCAAGAGAAAAGAAGATGTTATTAAGAAAACCATAAGGGAGAGAAAATACTTCTACTGTATTTATTGAAAAAAAAATCCACATATAAGTGTACCTATGCAGTTCAAACCCATGTTGTTCACGGGTGAACTGTATATTGGGTTAAATATATTATTAAGTTAATGTTTCTTGTTTCTACTTCTTAAATGTGGCTACTAGAAAATTTAAAAACCACATATGTGGCTCATACTATATTTCTATCAGACAGCACTGCTCTACAGTAAATGTTTCATAAACATTTTATAGTATAGAGTGGTGGTCCTCAATCAGGGGCAGGGTGGGGGGGCAGTTTTGGCTCTCAGGAGGTACTTGGCACTGTCTGGAGACATTTTTGGTTGTCACTACTTGGGAGGAAGGTGCTACTGGCATCCAAGGATTCTGCTAACCATCTTACAACACACAGGCCCACCCCACTCCGCTCCGAGCACAAAGAATTATCCAGCCCCAAATGCCAACAGTGCAGAAGTGGAGACACACTGGTGTAGAGGAAGTGCTTGATAAACTTGAGCTATCCATAGCACTATCTCATGTTTTCATTTTGAAGGCCCTGACAAGTCCAGCAGGAAAGAAACTTGCTTAATTGTTGCCAATGGGAGTGGGAAATGACCAGGAACTGGAGAGATAAGGAGGAGGGTTTGGCTTTGTAAGAAGCCAGGAGGTTGGAACCAGAAGACTGGAGTGGGAGAGTGAAGGAGGGATGGTGATTTCTCACTGCCATGGGTACCGAGAGAAGGAGCAGGTTGGAGCAAGATGCTAAGGATTATGGGAGATGCCCAGAGGTCAGTGGGATTCACAGCCAAGGCTGGTGCAAATGCTCACATGGCCATGGAAATCATGATAATGTGTGTGGTGGGGGTCCATTTACAAGGCTACTGAGACAGGAGATCTGTACTGAAGGGGCATGTGGGGGAGAATATTAGTTTGAGTGGTGGGAGAGAGAAAAAGATGGGAAGCTGGGAGACACTGAGGGGAGGAAGGCTTCTAGAAGAAGGAGGTGCTGGGCAGAGAGCCCAGGCAAGATATGGGCCCACGATTGTGAGTTGGTTGACCACTGCTGGCCTTGAGAAGGCTGGGAACTGGGAGGATGGGAGCCGGATCAGGGAGGCTGGAAGGAAGTGAAGCCTGGAGAACTCTTCTTTCAAGAAGCTGAGTTGAGAGGGGCAGAGAGCAGCACAACTCTCCACAGGGGTGGGGCATTAAGTAGGAAGATCAAGTGTGATTTTAGGGGGTGGGGAAAGAGCCGGGACTGGGAGGGACTGAAGACAAGGAAGCCTGGGTCCTTGTGGACGAGGCCAGGAAGTCTCTGGGGAGCATGGCTATGAAGATGGGTGTCTGAGGAAGGTCTGGTCACATTCAAATGTTTCTAAGCAATAGAACCCTGCCCCCATTCTCTCAAACACACACAGAACCCCAATATACAAAGTAGCTGCTCTGATTGGAACGAGAGTTGGGGCCTCCCTGAAAGAATCCACGTTGGCCTCAGTCACCTCTTCCTCTACGTTTCTGGATTTTGCTTGGGTCAGATTCTGATTTTTCTCCTCCCCACCCTTGGGTCCTACTTGAGGTCCTGCCCCCCCCCACCCCCCACGTGGGGCTTCTTCAAGCCTCTTCCTACTCTGCCCATCTCATTCAAGGTTGTCTCATTCAGGGTTTTTGTGGTTGCTTCTATGACATGACTTCACTGCTCTCCTAAGCCCCAGCCCCTCAGACTCAGCCTTCAGTACCCCCACCTCAGCAACCACCCTCTTTTCCCCGTCTCCCCCTCACACCTGATGGAGTCATGTGTGCCTCCCTCTCCTCCACCACCTCCTTTCAGTTACCCAGCTCAGACCACTCACCCTCCTCAAAGTGTCTTCCGGCTCTCCACCTCCCCCACTCGGTGCCCTGCCAGCCAACTCCCAAATCCACAGCTCATCCCACCCCAGCCTCCAAACCAAGAGAGTGTAGTCTGCTTAAGGCCTGGGTTTGAATGCCAGTCCCAGTATTGCCCAGTTGTGTGGCCTTGGGCAGGTTACTTTCCTTCTCTATGCCTGGGTTTTGGAGTTAACAGTTCCTTGGCTGCTTCTTCCTAGGGTTGCTGTGGTGTAGGGCACCCAGGGCAAGCGATTAAGTGATATTGTCCCCCCTTCCGTCTGGAACAACATTACCCCTTCCTCTGGCACTCTTCTACAGTTGCATCTGAGCCCAGGTCTCCAGCCTCCCAGGTGCCATCCTCCCTGATCCAGACCCCCCACTTAATTGGGGCCATGTGATTGTAGAGGGTGATGTGTCTGGTGGCCCTGACCTGCCCTCACCTTCCCTCACCCGCACAGAGCATGTGCCCTCGGAGCTGTGGGAGCCCTTCTACACTGACCAGTATGCGCAGGAGCACGTGAAGCCCCCGGTGACGCGGCTGCTGCTCTCAGCGGAGCTGTACTGCCGGGCCTGGCGCCAGGCGCTGCCGCAGCTCGAGATACCCCCCAGCCCCTCTGCGCTGCTGGCCTTGCTGGCACGGAGGGGCACGGTTCCCGCACTGCCGGAGCGCCCAGTGCAGGAGGCCGACCTGAGACACCAGCCTATCCTCATGGTAGGCACCCTCCGCCCTGTCCGTTAGGGCCCGCCCACCAAACCTAGCCCCTTTCCGGGGCTCTGCCCACCAGGCCTGGCTCCTCCCCAAAAGGCTCCTCCCACCAGGCCTGGCTCCTCCCAAACCATACTACTTTAGCCTACCTGGCCCACTGGATCCTAAGACCTAGTATGGACCTCAAAGCCCAGCCCACCAGCAGTGGCTCTTCTAGGACCCCTATCTTGGTTCCTTTCCTGAGATCCCACCCACTAACCCTGGCCCTGCCCCTCAAGCCCCTCCCACTTCTCGGTTCTTCCCCTTTATTCTTGGCATGCAGAGGGGACCCTCCATCTTGCTTTGGTCTGACCCTTCAGTCCTTGTCCCCCCAGGGAGCCCACCTAGCTGTCATTGACGCTCTCATGGTTGCCTTTGCCTTCGAGTGGACGAAGACTCTGCCCGGTCCCTTGGCCCTGGCCAGCTTAGAGCACAAGCTCCTTTTCTGGGTGGACACGGTAAGTGGTGTTGGGTCAGGATGGGCTGGGGGCCAGGATCACCCAGTGACCCAAGCACTGACCTCCCTTGGCCCCCCCAGACCATCCGGCGTCTGCAAGAGAAGACAGAGCAGGAAGCAGCCCAGAGAGCATCTCCCTCAGTCCCTGCAGATGGAGTGGCCCCAGCGCAGCCCTCGGTGAGGCTAAGGCGATGTCCAGATGGAAGGACAGATGAGCAGAGGGCTGGGGGCAGGGCGGGGCCGTGCCTCGCGGCCATTCGTGTGTGCATTGAGGGGGCTGGAGGTGACTCTCATTCTCTTTCTCTGCCCTCCCCCTGTGCCTACTCCTGCTGCTCTCCTCTCTGCCTGTCCCTCTCTGGCATCAGTGCCCCACACGCTGGTATTGGAAGCTGGTTCCTGTAAGTGGGGCTGTCTCTCTGTCCTGCCTGCGTGTCCCGCTTGTCACTCTGTGTGTCTGTTTCTGCGTGCCTGTCTGCACCTCCTCTTCCTCCCTTCCCCAGGCTGTGAGCAACGGAGGTGGGACCTCAACCCTGGGGGACAGAGAGGACCCCTCTGTGAACAAAGAGAAGGGGGGAAATCTTCTCTGTTCAGAGAAGGCAGATCCCTCCCCATTTACCTGACTGGGTGAACTCCCATCAATCGAGAGTAGAACTCCCTTAGTTCGTCCCCCTGACTGAGGTCAGGAGCCCTCTGGTGCTTCTGAAGGGAGGACCCCAGCCCATCAGACACATGATCCTGACCCCAATGGGCAGGGCACATGGAGAAACACCCCCCTCAGCCAAGAGGAATACCCTCAAACCCAGAAGAGGACGGCAGATCTTTGCTGAGGCTCCAGCTTCCCTAAGGATAGATCCCAGCTTTTGGGGAGGCGGAGGGGGGGGGGAAGAGTTGTCCATCCCTAAAGCACAACAAGGGGACAGTGACTGCCGCATGTGGGGGGAGGCTTTGAGCTGGATGAGGTCCCGACCTTTGCTCACTCCGGGGTCTCTTTCCCCCTACCCTGGGGCCTGGGTTGGGGGCTCCTCTACTGCCTACCTGCTTCCTCCGCATCCCCTCCCCAAGCTGGGGCCTGGGTCTTTTTTGGGAGGAGGGATTCCCTACATGGGAGGCTGCTCTGTGGGGTCTCTCCGGGCTGGGAGGAACTGGGGTCCCCAAAGCCAGCCAGAGTGCAGTCAGGGACCTGGACGGCTAGGGCTCAGGACAGGGCTCAGGGCTTGCCTCTCCCCGCTCTCAGAGGTGTGCTTGGGGGCCCAGCAAGTCAGCACCCCTCCCGCCCTGCTGACGGCTGCTCCTCTCCCCCCAGCACGCAATTGCCTTCTGTTTGAAGGAGTCGGGGAGCAAACCCCCCATGGTAACGTATCCCCCACCCTGGGGTCCCAGGAGTCCCTGCCCCCAGCCCCTGCTGCTGGCCTGGCTGCTCGCAGACACCTCTTCTGCCTCTTGCTGCTGCCCTCCCCCGCTCCAGGCTGGCCCATCACTCTGGCTCTGGGACCCCTGGCTTCACTCCCCCTCGTGGCGGAAACCCCAGGCCTCCCTGCCCAGCTTGCATGACCACTGACTTGGGGACCGGCATGACCTCTGACCTGACCTGGCTCCCACCTACAGATCCGATACCGTAAGGATCGTGCTATGGCCCGACGTGCCCCCTGCTTTCCCACTGTGACCGGCCTCCAGGACCTGGCGAGTGGGGCTGCACTGGCTGCTACAATCCACTGCTATTGTCCTCAGCTGTTACGACTTGAGGGTGAGTGGGTCTGGACCAGACCCTGCCTTCAGGAGCCCAGAGTCCTAAGATCCAGGTGTCTGTCCCCAGAGTGGTGCAGTCATTATGAGTGCAGCTTCCAGAATTGGCAGACCTAGGTTTGAAACTCTCTCTTCCCCTATTTAGCTGTGTGACCTCACATAAGTGTCTAAACCTCTCTGCACTTCATGATTCATTCCTGCAGCAAATATTTCTAGAGTGTGAACTATGTGCCAGACCCCATTTTAGACTGCAGGGATCCAGCGAGAACCATACAGACCTCAGGTGGTTTACATCCTAGTTGAGAGAGAAAGACAGTAAGTTCATCCAGAAGAACATTCTGGATGTTAGGTGCCCTGGAGGGTGCCAAGCAATCCGGAGAAGCTTTTCGAGTTGAGTTCATGGGGGGTTAGTGAGTGGCCTAGGTAGTGGAAGGAGCAGATGCAGAGACCCAGGGAGCAGCCTATCACAGTGCCCACCTTGTGAAGGATGCCTGGTACCAGGCCTGTAGGAGGTCCTCCTTGTCTGTTGGCTTCTGAGCCCTCCTTCCCCCAGGGCCCCCTCCTCCTTCCCATAGACCTGGCATCCTGTCCCTACAGAGGTGTGCCTCAAGGACCCCATGTCTGTGGCGGACAGCCTGTACAACCTCCAGCTGGTACAGGATTTCTGCGCCTCCCGCCTTCCTCGTGGCTGCCCGCTGTCCCTTGAGGACCTGCTTTATGTACCACCGCCCCTCAAGGTAAGGCCATCTCGGGGCCTGGTGGGCTGGTGCTGGCATCCAGGCCCATGGGTCCTATAGGCTGACCCTGCCTTTTGCCTCCAGGTCAACCTGGTGGTGCTGCTGGCCGAGATGTTCATGTGCTTCGAGGTGCTGAAACCTGACTTCGTGCAGGCCAAGGACCTGCCTGATGGTCATGGTGAGGCCTGGCCCTGGGTCCAGGTGGGGATGGGGAGGCCAAGCCCTGCCTGACCCTCCTCTCTGTGCTGCAGCTGCCTCTCCCCAGGCCACAGAGGCCTCCACCCCTCAGAACAGCGGCAGCAGGTATGGTTCCCCCGTTGGGTGTGTCCATGGTCATGACAGGCTCCTCCTCCTGGCTGGGCACTGGGACAGGGCTGGGAGATGCTCTGGTCTCTACCTCAGGAGAGGTGAGGGAGGGGACCCCACAGCTGACATGTATCTCTTGGCAGTTCTCCTGTCTTCAACTTCCGCCATCCACTTCTGTCACCTGGCGGCCCCCAGTCCCCACTCCGCGGATCTACAGGTGAGAGCAGGGGGTGACTTGTCCTTGGAGACGCCACCCAAAAAGACCACCCCAGCTCCCCAGCTGACTTCATGTCTGCTTGTGACCCCTCCATTGGGTCCCTTTGACACCTGAATGACCCCATGGTGACACACGTTGATCCTCATAGTGACCTTTTCAGTGGATCAACAGGATTCCCTAGTGACACCAAATGGCCCCCAGCTACCCATCCACATAATGACCCATCAGTGACTCATCCAGTGACACCCCCTGGCTGACCCCACCCAGGGTCCCCAGTGACCCCACAGTGACCACTGACCACCCCTCCTCAGGCTCTCTGAAGTCCTCCCCATCCATGTCCCACATGGAGGTCCTCGGCAAGGCCTGGAACCGACAGCTCAGGTGAGCTCATCTCAAGGACCCCCAGCCCACCCCCAACAGTAGAGGAGGCAGGACTGGAGCGGGCCCAGGGGCTAACCCCTCCCTTTGGCCGCCCAGCCGTCCCCTTTCCCAGGCTGTGTCGTTCAGCACCCCCTTTGGCCTGGACAGCGACGTGGATGTCGTCATGGGAGACCCTGTCCTACTCCGCTCTGTCAGCTCAGACAGCCTGGGCCCCCCGCGCCCCGCGCCGGCCCGGACCCCCACCCAACCACCCCCCGAGCCTGGTGACCTGCCTACCATCGAGGAGGCCCTGCAGATCATCCACAGTGCCGAGCCCCGGCTGCTTCCAGATGGGGCTGCTGATGGCAGCTTCTACCTCCACTCCCCTGAGGGGCCCTCCAAACCGACACTGGCCTCCCCCTACCCACCCGACAAGGTACCTGCCTACTTGCCCCACCCCGAGGGCCCTTTGAAACCTTCTCCCTGCCAGGCAGGAGAGGTACTGAAACCTCAGGCCCTGTCTGAGGGCTCCCCAAAGGCGATGGCTTCATCCCCAGCTGCCAGCAACTCTGAAGTGAAGATGACCAGCTTTGCTGAACGCAAGAAGCAGCTGGTGAAGGCCGAGGTGGAGGCTGGAGCGGGGTCCCCAGTGGCCACCCCAGCAGCACCAGAGGCCCTGAGCTCGGAAATGAGTGAGCTTGGAGCCCGGCTGGAGGAGAAACGGCGGGCCATAGAAGCTCAGAAGCGACGGATTGAGGCCATCTTTGCCAAGCACCGCCAGCGACTGGGCAAGAGCGCTTTCCTGCAGGTGCAGCCTCGGGAGGTTGGAGGGGAGGCTGAGGCAGAGGCTGAGCCAAGCCCAACCCCTGGTGGGGAGCGGCCAGCAGGTGAGGGCCAGGGTGAGCCATCCCCACGGCCCAAGGCAGTGACTTTCTCACCAGAACTGGGCCCGGTGCCCCCCGAGGGACTGGGGGATTATAACCGGGCAGTCAGCAAGCTGAGTGCTGCACTGAACTCATTGCAACGGGACATGCAGAGGCTCACAGACCAGCAGCAGCGGCTCCTGGGCCCGCCTGAGGCCCCTGGGCCCTCCCCACCTCCCACTGCCCCGCCTCCTGCTGCGTGGGTCATCCCTGGCCCCACGATGGGTCCTAAAGCTGCATCCCCCAGCCCTGTACGGCGCTCCTCAGCTGCCCGGCGTAGCCCAGGGCCTGCTCCCAGCCCGACGCCTCGCAGCCCGAAGCACACGCGGCCAGCGGAGCTGCGGCTAGCACCTCTGACAAGGGTGCTCACACCTCCCCATGATGTTGACAGCCTCCCCCACCTGCGCAAGTTCTCACCAAGCCAGGTGCCTGTGCAAACGCGCTCCTCCATCCTCCTGGCTGAGGGGCCATCTCCTGAGGAGCCCTCAGCCAGGCCAGGCCTCATTGAGATCCCCCTGGCCAGCCTGGAAGAGCCCCCAGCTGAGCATGAGGGAGATGGGAGCCCCCCTGGTGCTGAAGACTCCTTAGAGGAAGAGGTATCTTCAGAGGGAGAGCCCCGCACTGGGCTGGGCTTCTTCTATAAGGTGAGTCTCCTGAGCAGGTGGGGGGTTTGGATGGATGGTCAGGGAGTGGGGAGGTGGGGGCAGGTGGACACGTGGTCGGGTGGAGATGGCATTCCAGTGGGTGGATGGGTGGGAGTGGGCAGACAAGGTGTGTGTGGGTGGGTAGAGGGCAGATGGATAGATGGCTGGGGTGATGGGCCGATGGACAAATAAGGTTAGGGTCTTCCCAAGGGTGTGATATCAGATTGTCTTCTCACTGGATTAAGTGCTTTATGGGAGCAGTACTAGGTCAGCCCCACACCTGTTGTGCCCTAGGCACATGGGCATAAAGTGGGTACCAACTAAAGGCCTTCAAAACAATTACAAAATCGAAAGGACAGATGAGTGGCTGGCAGGCTGGGTTTACAGATCAGACTGTAGCTGTGCCAGGGGAGGGACGGTCAGCTGGACTTAGTGTCTGCGCCCAGGATGAAGACAAGCCCGAGGACGAGATGGCTCAAAAGCGGGCCAGCCTGCTGGAGCGGCAACAGCGACGGGTGGAGGAGGCGCGGCGACGGAAACAGTGGCAGGAGGCCGAGAAGGAGCAGCGCAGGGAGGAGGCTGTGCGGTAAGGCTGGGCCCGGCCTTGGGGACTCTGCCACCAGTGACCCCATGACCTGACTGCTTCATTCTCTCCATCCATCTGCAGGCTGGCCCAGGAGGAGATGGCCCCCAGCCCCTCGGCCCCTACAGCAACCCCAGCCCCTGCTGCTCGGGCCCCAGCTGAAGAGGAGGTGGGCACCCGGCGGGGGGAGTTCACAAGGCTTGAGTATGAACGCCGGGCCCAGCTGAAGCTGATGGATGACCTGGACAAGGTGCTACGGCCACGGGGGACCGGGGGGCCAGGCCGGGGCGGACGGAGGGCCCCCCGGCCTCGCTCTGGTTGCTGTGATGACTCAGCCCTGGCACGAAGCGCTGCCCGTGGCCTGTTGGGTGAGGACCCTGTTGGGTGTGGCTTGCCCAACGCCCCTTTCCTGGGCTTGCTGCATGGGGCCTGTGGGGAGGGGAAGGATATATTGCAGCGAGTGCTGTACGTGAGTGATAAGGGTCTCAGGTGGGATGCCCTATGTGCAGGGTGAAGACTTCCAGAGGGATGTGGGTGGGGCCTGCAGTAAGGTAAGGGCTGCTGGGCAGATCTGGCCGAGTTCTCTCCGCGGCTGGAGTCCCCCTCAGGTCCATTTGGTGGGTGAGATTTCTGCTGGGGGCTGTACAGAGTGAGGGTCTTGAGCAGGGCCACACTGGGCATTTCTGGAGATAAGGGGGCTTCGGTGGGAACTGAACTAATGCTCTCTACCCCCAGGTTCTCGGCTCAGCAAGGTCTACTCCCAGTCCACCCTGTCACTGTCAACCGTGGCCAACGAGGCCCCCAATAACCTTGGTGTGAAGAGGCCATCTAGGTGAGTTCGGCCTGGGCGAGTGTCCTCAGAGTCTGTGTGTGAGCATGTGTGAGCCTACAAGTATGATGTGGCATGAGTATATCTGCCACTAAAGGGCTAAAAGGACACATATGTGTGCAAGTGGGATTGTCTGTACCTGATGGACAGGACCTAAGAATGTCCCTCTCTGCACCTGAGTGAGTGTGCAGCGTGACTGAGGCTGGGAGAGTGCAAGACGGTATTGCATGGACTTGGCAGGATATACAACACATGTGTACGTCTCCCACTCTGCAGTGGCGGATTCTGGGCGCATACTGGGTGGCTTTGCCCAGCACTGACCACATCCCCATCCCATCCATTCTCCCCTGCAGGGCTCCGTCCCCATCTGGCCTCATGTCCCCAAGCCGCCTGCCTGGTAGCCGTGACCGTGACTGGGAGAATGGCAGCAACGCCTCCTCCCCAGCATCAGTGCCTGAGTACACAGGTGAGTGGCACTTCTGGTGGTGAACGCTGGGCCCTCCCTGTCCCTAGCCATCCCTGACCACCCTGCCCCTTAGGTCCTCGGCTGTACAAGGAGCCCAGCGCCAAGTCCAACAAGTTCATTATCCACAATGCCCTGTCACACTGCTGCCTGGCAGGCAAGGTGAATGAGCCACAGAAGAACCGAATTCTTGAGGTGAGCCTGTGTTGGGGTGTGAGGGGCCAGCGCGCGGGGGTCTGGGGCCTTGCTGGGCTGGCTGACCACTTCCCCTGCCCACCAGGAAATTGAGAAGAGCAAGGCCAACCACTTCCTGATCCTCTTCCGGGACTCGAGCTGTCAGTTCCGGGCTCTCTACACGCTGTCGGGGGAGACGGAGGAGCTGTCTAGGCTGGCGGGCTACGGCCCCCGCACCGTCACACCCGCTATGGTAGAAGGCATCTATAAGTACAACTCGGACCGCAAGCGCTTCACCCAGATCCCCGCCAAGACCATGTCCATGAGTGTGGACGCCTTCACCATCCAGGGACACCTCTGGCAGAGCAAGAAGCCCACCACTCCCAAGAAGGGGGGAAGCACCCCCAAATAGCCCTGCACCAGGTGGTGCTTGGCCACTGGCCTCGCAGAGGACAGCCTGGAGGACATGCTGTGGGTGTTCCTGGGTCCTGCCTGTCCCAGCCTTGTCTGGGTGGGGCTGGAGTTCCCACCCCCTAACTTTTGTCTCGTCCTGCTGTGGGGGCTGAGCTGGGAGGTTCAGGGACTCAGGGCTCAGCTCAGTCCCCTGTCTGTCCTCCCTACCTTCTTGAATAAAATAATTTAAGGAGACCTTGAGTGCTGGCCTCTCCCTGAGGCTGGCTGAGAGGGTTTTCCTGTCTCCTGTTCACTCTTGAACCTGCTCCAGTCTCTTCAGCCCCCTTGTTGGCCCCAATGCAGTTCCTGCTAAGGTCACAACTTCCCTGCCAGCTCCCCCTGTGGCCACTTCTTAGCTGCTTACTGACCTCTTGGGTCCAGGCGGCTTCTGACCAGCCCTGCTCCTCCATGGCCTCCCCCACCCCTGCTCGCTTCATTTTGTGGCTGTCATTACTGGCCTCGCCTGGCACTTGGTCGGTGGCCAGTTGCTAAACCTGATCGTCTCCAGCCGCCTGCCTACCTTTCTAGGCTCAGTTACAGCACCTGGGCCAGGGATTCCCATGTTCTCTCCAAGCTCCACATCTGAGGGTCCAGTTGCCTCCTGGCATGGGCACTGGACGTCTCAGATGTAGGCCCTATACCGTAAGCTCAAGCCAGGCTGAGCTAGTCTCCCTGCGACTTTGGCAGGCCAGGTGAGGGACCCAACTTCCCTGATGCCATCCAGTACTGCACAGTTCACCTCCTAAAGCCCTCTTCTCTCTCACTTCTCTCTGTCCCCATGACCACCCCAGTCCAAGGCAACAGCCTAGGCCTCCCCATGTGACCAGCTGCCTCCTGTCACAAGCCAACCCCCCACAGCAGCCTGCATGGCCCATTCAGGGCACAAATCTGATTACATCCCTGAATGCTTAAAATCCCTTAATATCTTAGAGTCTGCTAATGGTTTCCCAGAGTTTAGGACTAAGGGCCACACCCTGGTGTGGTCCATGGCTGAAGTCTGGCTCCTGGCTGCTGTCCAGGAGAGAATCGCCTTTGCTAACTTAAGTCCCAGGACCAGGGACTACCTGCCTTCTAAGCTCGCTGACTGGTTCTCCAGAGGGGAGGCTGGGACTCTCTTATCTGCTGACTGGAGTGGTGGGGAGGGGACAGATAGACCCTAGGGGGTGGGGGTGGGGGGGGAGACGTGGGCAAGGCCCCCCAGGCTCAGGGATTGAGGCCTCAGGTGGCACAGAAACTGGACTCCAAGTCCAGAACTGGTTCTGTGGGGTGAGGATGGGTGTATGCCCTGGCCTGAAGCCCAGCTGCCTCACCTCCCACAACAGCCAGTGTGCGGGGGGATGGGGGATACTGGGCCCAGGACCAGAGCGAGAATGAGCTGGCAGTCCCTTTAAGCACCTGGCAGTCCCTTTAAGCACCTGGCAGTCCCTTTAAGCACCTGGCAGCCGAAGAGGTGAGCAGGAAGGAGGCCCAGACCATGTCCTACAAACACAGGCTTCATTGCAGGGTGAGGGGGGGTGGAG